TTACTACTACTACCACCATTCCCATCATGAGTATTACTGCCATACCCTTCTCCATGTAGATACCAAATAAAATATTGCGGCATGAACCCTCTATTTAATAAATGCGTCCACACAGTTTTGGTTAGTATATACCTTGTATTCTTGCATTTCAAACATAGACAAAATATCTTCCCGCTTTCTTTGGTTCTCTCCATATTTGTGGGTTGATACATGAATATTTCTAACCTGTTTTTGAATTCTTCTGTCAACGCCCCTTCTGAATCTTTACGCATATACATCCAGCTTCTTAGCTCGTATATAGACATCTCCAAAAAAACTCAAAAAAACTCTCTTTCTCTATTGTTTAGACAATATAAGAGACAGTCTTGTGCCACGTGTAACCATGTGAATGGACAAACCTTATTATATTATTATTTCTTTTTTTTTTAAAGAAACTCATTCGGGTTTCCATCAATGGACATCCCAATATATCGGATTTTTAAACACAGTCTCTAAACTAAAAATAAACACTATAATAAGGTTTAAGAGATTCAAATGTGTCTCTGGGATGCTGATGCTTTTATGTTTGAATGATGATGTTGTGAATGAAAGAAGAAATGAAGATGTATTTATAACAAAATTTCAGGCATTACGACGCTTTTATGACGACTTTTTACAAAATTACGATGGTTTTTACGTCAATTGTGCGATAAAATATTTCAACAACATTGGGTAGGTAAACATGTTTAAATTGTTTTTCAACTACCTTTTTTAGACGTAAAACCATCGTAATGATACATCAGAATACGTTCGTTGTAAATTCGTCGTAGAGTTACGACGATTTTACGACGAATTACGATGTAAAATATAATCTCCCTTTATCGATGTATAATCGTCGTAAAACGTCGTAAATTATACGACGAATTTACGATGAATTTACGACGATTTTTTTTTACAACGGTTTTACGACGTGTTGTTTTTTCGTCGTAAAGTCATCGTAAAACCGTTGGTTTTTACGACGATTTTTAAACCGTCGTAACAAACCGTTTGAAAACGATTGTTTTCTTGTAGTGATACTAGGAATTAACCCGCCTATTATGCGGGGTAATGTTTTTTTAATTATCTTTAAATTTAATTTAATTTTTTTGTTAAATTAAATTGGTGACAAAAGTTTTTTACCAAAAAATATAAATAAATAAAATTGGTGACAATTAGATAACAATACCTATATAAATATCACACAATCGATATTTACTTATATATATTATTATGCGGTTTAATTATTAGTAGCTTTTTTAAATATGAAAGTGATATGATATTAATATATAGATATATATATATACTTATATACATACCAATATGGATTAAAATCTAATATATATATATATATTCATAAAATAAAAATTTAATTTTGAATATTTTATTAGAGATCAAACTATCATTTTTAGTGAATAACTTATATAATATGTGTTAACAATGATTATATATAGGATTGTCAAAATGGAAAAACCCGTCTACTTAATATATTTCACAATTTACTAAACTATTTTTGGGCCAACCCGTTAAAAAAAATAATTTAAATTTTGAAAACATAATTTTATTTTTTATATAAATAATTGAACTGATTTTCGAAAATGATACTAAATAATAATGAAAATACAAATGAAAAATATTGCAAAAGTTGAAATTGATTTTTTCATATATATGGATTGATTATTATTTAAAATAATAGAATATATTTTAATATTTTAATAAGTAAAGAAACTAAATATACTTTTGATTTATATCCATATATTTAATGGGGGAATTGCTAAAAATAGGCCACAATTTGATTCCAAATGCAAAAGTATACCCCAAATTCAACCTATTGCAAAAATAGGTCAGAGGGGTAGAGAAATTACCATTATCTCCTACATGAGTAAACAATAAAACGGATGTCTCAATTACGATTATAACCCTTCGAAGTCTGCCAATACTAATGAAGTCTGCTCAGCAGACTGATAAAGAAGTCTACTATATTATTAAATCTCATTTTTAAATTTAAAAATTATATAAAAATAATGTAAACTGAAGTTTGTTTCTATAAATCAAATGTCAACAAGTATGATCTAGAAAAATTATAATTTAATAAATATGAATCATTTTTAACCATCTAGGATAAACATAAAAAGTGAAAAGTTTTAAACTAGGGCTGCAGACTTCTTTATCAGTCTGCTGAGCAGACTGATAAAGAAGTCTACTATATTATTAAATCTTATTTTTAAATTTAAAAATTATATAAAAATAATGTAAACTGAAGTTTGTTTCTATAAATCAAATGTCAACAAGTATGATCTATAAAAATTATAATTTAATAAATATGAATCATTTTTAACCATCTAGGATAAACATAAAAGTGAAAAGTTTTAAACTAGGGCTGCAGACTTTTTTATCAGTCTGCTCAGCAGACTACGGATCGAAGTCTAGTCAAACCAGAATAATTAACCTAACCGGAATTTTTAACATAGTATATAAAGAAACTTACCAGTCGTTACCATAAATAAAAAAACCTAGATCACTGTAAAACGGCGCTGCACTCTGGTCTCTCTCGCCGCGACTATCTCTCGCAGTAAGCCTTTCCCGGCGCTCCCCATCTCTTCTTTTCTGTTTCTGATGCATATGTTGTTTCATATATATCAATACATATATTGTTGCTGCAGATCTCAGCCGGTGTCTTCATCGTTCTTAGTTATCTCTCCAGATCTGTGAGTTATTCGCCATTACATTCTCTGTTTAGTCCGTATCTTATTGTTTACTGGTTTGTCCTTTAAAATTGTTCTTTTGTTCTTTTGTCCTTTTGCTTTACTGTTTTTTTAACAGATCTAAGTAAAAAAACTTTTTTCACAGATTCCGTGAGCACGTAAGTAAAAATATTTCGATTTTTTCTTTATTTCAAGATTTACCTTTTTTGTTATTTTGTTGTTTAGCGAGTAAGAAATATTTTTTGGAAAGCTTGTTTTTGTTGTTTTGTTTTTAGCTGCAAAGTTATTATGTGGTCGTATCTGTTTTAGTTTTTTGTTTGTTAACTTCTAAGTTTGTTTGCTTGATCTCTACAGAGTAATGCCGATAAGCTACACCAACAGCTCATCTTCCAAAGCAAGCTATGACAGCGGGTGTGCCAAAGCTGATGGAGACTTTGGGATACCTGAACGATGCTATTGCGGCCTTCGATGTAGATTGGAAGAGTCTACAGCTCCAGAGACGTTTGGCAGGAAGTTCTATAGTTGCCCTGATATATTAGGCGAATGTGTATAGTTTTAATGAGGTTTTTCTCAATATGTGTATAGTTTTAATGTTATTCATCAAGTATAACTGAAGTTTTCGTTTGTCATATGTGTAGGATAAACCGGGTCACATCTCCAAATGGTGGGATCTAGCCATTGAAGAGCAGCTGACCATTCTTCAAATACGAATTGACAAGCAGAGCGAAAGCATGTTCCGTGACAACCGAACAGCCCTTCTGCAATCATATGAGAATCGTCTGTATGCATTGGAGGATCGCCTTGCTGCAACCGAGAAGACCATTAGCGAGATCGAGGAGTTCATAGGGTTCATTCAGAGTGAAATTGCTGGAGTGAAAGAAGCACTTGCTAATTGAGGTTCTGATATCCTACTTTGTGTTTTTTTAGTTATTTTTGCAGTAATCTCTTGTGTTTTCATGCGTTGGGATGTAGAATACTAAACCAAGAGACTTGTGTAACCTTTAAGTAGACTAGTTGGGATAAAACATATGTATTTGACTTCTATGGTGATTAATGTTAGTGTTTACTGTTGCATATACATTGTTCGTATACTGGGGAATCTATGTGCACTTTGTGTATTGTGTACATATGCAGGGCGTGAGTTAAGGGTGTCTACATACAATCTCTAAAACTACTTTTCATATGATATTAATAAAAAACACATGCAGACTTCGTAGACAGACTTCTTAAACAGACTTAATATGCAGACTTCGTAGACAGACTTCTTAACCAGACTTAATATGCAGACTTCTTAAGCAGACTTAATATGCAGACTTAATACGTCGAATAAACTAAACCAGACAGTTTTAAAATTATATTGCAAACCAGCTATAATTGGCTAAACCAATTGCGTTTTAAATAACGAAATCGATAAACCACATTGAACTGGTACGACGTTTATTTAACTGGTACAACGGTTATTGAACTGGTACGACGGTTATTGAAATGGTACGACGGTTATTGAACCGGTACGACGGTTAAATAGGTTTCTACGGTCATATATAAGACTTTCTATGAGCACTGTACTAACACAAATCGGTAAGAAAAAAAAAATTACTGTCATTTGGGTTTAGTTCTCGGAACTTGTCGCCGGTTTTTACTGTACATCCGTTTACCGTTTAAGGTAAGTCGAATTTAATGCCGACTTCTCTTTTGGAAAGAAGTCGTCTGTGTAATTCACAAACCTTAATCTCCTTCGCTTTCTATTCTAGATCTGGTGTCGCCGCCGTCCGTAACTGTTTATTTCCGCCGTCTGTTCATTTCCGCCGTTGGTCGTGGAAAGGTATTTGGCTGTACTAATTTCTTATAATTTGTAAATAAATATCTTTACGGGTTCCAAGTTCCTAGTCGTTTGGGTTTCTACATCGGTTTTTATAAAAATCGGACAACACCGAGTAGATATTTCCAAAGTCGGACAAGAATCGAATACCCGTTTCCAAGTTTCTAGTTGCTGTGAATTAGAGATATCTGTACTTTTTTTTATTTATTAAACGGACTTGTATAGTGTTTAGGTGAACTATTTTGGAAGTATTATCTCGTAAAACAGAGTTCAAAACGGGTTGTTTTTTTTAAAGAACTTTGTCGGCGGCTAGATTTTTGAAACTTTTTTAATTAGATTATTAGGTCTACAGACTTCAATTGCAGACTAGTTGGCTGACTTTGTGTGCAGACTTCTTCGGAAGTCTTCATAAGTAGACTTCTTGAATATTGGACTTCGTTTTGCAGACGTCAGAACAGCCAATGGAAAACCCAGAGTTCCCCCCGCGTCTCTTCTCGAAAGGCGATGAGCCGTCTCCGCTGAAAAGCATCGGTTACTATAGCGGTGAGACGAAGCTGATGACTGCACTCGAGGAAGCACTCACACAAGATGAGTGGGAAGAGATATTGAACTCTAGACTGGGAGTGTTCTTGAAGTTCAGCCAGTTGGATTTCGGCTGGGCATCTAGACTGGTGCATTACATTCTCGGCATGCAGCTAGTTTGCAAGAAAAAATTTGAGATTTGGAGCCTCGTAGGTCTAATCCCGATCCGCTTTTCTTTGAATGAGTTCGAACATATTACTGGCTTGAATTGCGAGTACGTGGACAACCTCGAGGATCCGGTGGTTGAGATAACTGATGAGATGAAAGATTTCTGGGAGCGATTGGGAGTCAATCAGGAGTTGGGCCCGAGCACTGAAGATTTGATAGAAGCTTGTAAAGAATGCGGGTCGTGGTCTTCCGAGGATCGGTTGAGGCTGGGATACCTTAGCATTTATACTAGTTACATTGAAGCACGAAAGCCATCTTCAGCTACTCAGGCTAGGTTGGCAAGGCTTGTGATGGATTTAGAAGCGTTTGAGAACTACCTTTGGGGAAGAGTGGCCTTCAAAAACCTGATGCGGTCGGTGAAGGAGAAAGAAATTTGGAAGTCGTCGTACACCATTGAGGGGTTTGTTCAAGTACAACAAGTCTGGGTTTACTTTGCTCTTCCCGACTTTGCTGCTAAATTTGGTGAACCACTTCCAGGCGACCACAATGTACTGCTGATAGCTTTCAAGGGATCCAGGGGGAGGAAATTTATGAAAGAGAATATGCTCCGACAGGTAAGTAGTCTGAATTCATACTTGGTTTACTATTATATCGGCAGACTTATTTAGTAGACTTCTAGTGCAGACGTCTGTAGTATACAGCAGACTAATTAGGCAGACTTCTTAGGAAGACTTCTCAGGAAGACTTCTTAGGAAAACTTTTTAGGAAGACTTCTTAGGAAGACTTCTTGGGAAGACTTCTTAGTTTTGATTTCCGCATTATACGTTATATAACTCTGTTTTGATTTCCATGTAGACACGCATTAACAACTACGTTGTTAAGGAATTCTTCGACATGTTTCCGCGCTGGGAAATTGAAGACGATGATGAAGAAGACGAGAGGACTGACAACATCATCAAAGCGATGTATGGTCATTTTGGCCCTAAACAATGGACATGGGAAAGGAGTCATTGGCCTCCAACAGGTGTGACCAAGTATGTCAAGTCCGAAGGGTCTGTCGATCTGAAGAGGCGATCGGAATCAGTTGGTGATCAAGGAAGTCTCTGCCCAGCCTCTGGTGAGGAAGATGAGTCAATGGTCACGATTCTGAAGGACCACATGGACGACTGCTTCAACAAGATGATGGATGGGTTGAGTAGTTGTGAATCTCAGATCAAACTACTCAACACAAAGTTGGGAACGGTGGAGCAGAAATTAGAGGCAGTGATCCTCCAAGCTGGGACCGGAGGTACAAAGGAGGATGTGACTCAGACTGGTGAAGCAGACGCCGAGGGCGCAAAACCTGTTGGCGACGATCAAACGGACGCGGACGCCGATCCTAATATCGGGGTTAGTCCAAAACCCGCTCCAAAGAAAAGAGGAAGGAAACCCCAGAAAAAATAAAATTCCATATTTATTTACAAACTTCTCATCGAACCTTACCAATCTGTTTTAAAACCTTAAAACGTTGTCACCACTAAATATTTAATGTTTTTATTTATACTCTTTAATGTTTGATGTTTGGTTTCGTTTCATTGATGTGTGTTTAAATCTTTATATTTGCAGAGTAATTTTATGTCTAAGCAAAATGAACAAACTGATGTCCCGAGTGAGAGCGTGAACGATGGTAAGCAGGGAACTCCAGAGCCAAGCGTCGTTATGGTTGATCCAGCAAAATGCGACATCGACTTCGATCAGGTCCAGAAAGATAAACACGAGAAAGGCAAGAAGGCGGCACAACTGGTTGTTCGTGCGAAGAGTGAACGTCTGCGAAAGTTGGCTCCTACACAACAAAGCCCTTTCAAACCGAACAGCACAGCAAAGGAAATAATCCCAAACAAAAATGTCCGAGGGTGCGGATATGATCCGTTTGATATGAAACACGTGAAGCAAAAGATCGGTGTACTAACTGATTGTCTGAAAAAAGATCCGTAAGTCTTTGTTTTAGAGTTAGCATAAAGCAGACTTTCCATTGTAAGAGTAGTGGATGATATTGTAAAATGGTGTTGTTTTCAGGGCATATCCGAAGCGGGTAAAATGGTCATCCGTGGACTGGTACTTCATTCTAAGAGTTCCTAAACAATGGCTAGCAGACACTGTAAGTTACGCGAGTGTATATATGATATGAACACAACATATTACACTCTGCTTGAATAATTGTTTCCATTGAATATGCAGCACATGGAAGCTGGGATTAACCTACTCAGGCTGCGATTTACAAAGCATCCTGAGTGGTTTAGGTCGGACAGGATAACATTCCTCGACTCTTACTTTGCAACGATGTGGAGGTACAAGTACAAGGAGTTCGTGGACTCTCACGCCAACCCTGATGGTTCAGGCAAGCTCCTTCCAGCTGGCTCGTTCGAGTACTACACTGGCGCAGCCCCAACCTACTGCATTAGTAACAAGACGTGGGGGTATGATGTGGATGACCTGTACTCGATGTTACACATCACTGATGATCACTGGGTGGCAATGTGGATTTCGATTCCGATGAAGCATATTGTCATTTCGGATAGCCATGCGAATACTCATGCATCGGATATTCAGATTGAGGCTTCTGTGACTCCGATTACCGTCTTGGTTCCCTACATACTCCGTGAGTGTGCACCTGCTGAAGACCGTATCAATCTGACTTATGATCCATTCACGTGGGAGCGAATCAAAGGGCATTTGATCCCACAAAACAAACAAAGCGGTGACTGTGGCGTTTACTGCTTGAAGTACCTTGAATGCCATGCTCTAGGGATGCCATTTCCGAAGACCTTGTGCGATGCAAACATTAAAAACATCCGAGACAAGCTGGCAGCTGAGATATTTGACGAGACAGGAGTAACCGGCACAGAGAAGTATGAGTATCCATGGCTGGACGTATACGAAGGTAAGTGATTATGTCCAACTATGTATATTCTGTAATGAAAGAGAAAGGACTCTCGTTGGGTGTGGTATGGTTGGAAGTTTTTGGTTAACCTGCCAGAATTGTTGTTCTCTTATTTAACTGTAATGTTCCTAACTAATTTCGGTTTGTTTAGTAATATTTAGAACAATGGTGTGGTAGTATGTTTTGGAGGCTAAACGCTTGTAATAGACTAGTGTGGCTTTTGTGATAATTCACGTACTCTAAGGTTTACCCTAATCATAGCTTATTATATCGCATAGTTTATGACAATAATTAAGAATGATCGTACATAGACATTAAACAGACATATTTCAGTAGTGTTTCCCTTACCTGGTGAAGCAGACTTCTTGTGCAGACTACGGTAGAAGACTTCTAGTAGTAGTCTTCAGTGTAAGTCTGCTATTATAGTTTTAGGGTTTTATCTTGACTTCAACGTCTGCAAAAAAAAAAAAACAGAGGAAATTAACTTCGACCCTAAACCCTTAAAGTATGAGGTAACATAACACTTACACAATCCGGTCTAGTATGTCCTGGTTGGTGACATTTCGAACAACTGTACTGCTTGTGGATCTTACGGGGTTTCTTTTGCTTATGCCTCGAAATTTCCAGCCAAGTTTGCCATCTTGACTTCCTCTGCCTGCCTTTTTTACGTCGGACCTCCGGAGGTAGACATTGTGTTGTTTCATCGGTTTTCATTGCAATGCTTGGAGGATATATATTATGCGAGTACGCTGCATACAAGTAATCTTTGGAGTATGTCGGGCATACAAGAGTGGCCAGATGCATATGCATTGCATCTGAAACGGCTATAACATGAGAGCAAGGTATTTTCTCAATATCATACACGCCACACCCACACTTTCGAATTTCCAAATCAACGACACAGTTATGTGATCCTCCTTTCACATTGAATCGCCAACCATCTATGCCTTCAACCGTCAACTTATCAGCATAATGTGAACGAATTGCCAACAAATATTCAACTCCTCGAGTATGGTTGGTTGGAAGACTCAAAGCATCTTCCCGCCTTTTACAAAACCACTTTGTTAGCTTCGCCCGTAAGTACTCCAACAAGAATACTATGGGAAATCCCCGTGCCCGTTTGAGAGCAGAGTTGATAGACTCTGCGATGTTTCTCGTCTTTATATTGTATTTATCACCTGGAAAGTGAACTCTTGACCACAACTGAATGCCAGCCTCCTCCAGGTACGTTGCAAGGTCAGGTTTTATATGCCTTATCTCGTCCATATAACGGTTAAAATCATGTACCGTATATGCATACGCAACACGTTTGACTAAGTACATAAGATGCTTCCCCTTAAACTTAGTGACAATATTGTGTTGCAGATGATAATAACATATACCGCATGTTACCCATGGTAAGACAGTCTCACATGCCTTCTTAATGGAATGATGCCGGTCTGAAACTATCACCAATGGATACTCGTCTGTAAAACACTCCCGCAATTTTCTAAAAAACCATTCCCATGCGTGATCATTCTCAGAGTCCACTATTCCAAAAGCTAGTGGAAATATCTGGAAGTTACTATCTTGTGTTGTGGTCACTAGCAGAGTCCCTTCATACTTTCCAGTCAGATGACACCCATCGACAACAATGACCCGTCTGAGATATTGAAAACCAGCTATGGAGGCTCTGAAGGCTAAGAATAGGTACTTGAACCTATTCTGACTGTCGCGTTCAAGGGCAGTTATAGTACCCGGATTTGCTTCAGCGATCAGACGCAAATAAGAAGGCAGTCGGCTATATCCATCCTCAAGGCTTCCCCTCACACATTCTTGTGCATACATCAAAGCTCTATACGAAGTTGTGTAGTCTATTTTCAATTGAAACATCGTCTGCATTGAATCTTTGATGTGTTCTGCAGTAATCCCATCAATTATTCCCACACGCTCTATAAATAACTTTCCAATGTATCTTGGAGTCGTATGCTTTCGGTGAGCCAACCGATCTGAAACTAAACAGGTATGAGTTTTGACATATTTAGTGACCCAAAACGTCTTTGCTTCGTTCTTTACAGCTGCTCTAACTCTCCATTGGCATCCTTTAACAGCACATTTAGCAACAAATAGATGTCTCGATGACTTATCAACTCTGAATGCAAACTTCAACATAACAGCCGTCAACCTGATCTCAGAAATCAGGTCATCTTTTGTAGCAAAACTTCCGTTTACTTTTATTTTTTCAACCCAATTTCTTTCATATCCTCTTTGAGGAGCCTTCACCGGTTCTTCAATCCACTCACCCTCACCCTCTAAATCAGAATTTGAATCCTCATCCTTCACTTTCCCATATTGGCTGTAGTCCTGATCCTCAGAGTCCTGACCCTCAGAGTCAGTACTGTCTTCCTCCTTTACTGAATCGTTTTTGATGTCCTCGTTTATCTCATCATCATCATACTCATCGACATTTTCATCTTCACCTTCCTCAGTATTTTGATTCCCACCTTCAACAGAACACCCATCAGCAGCATCAACACCACCAGTACGTCCATCATTGTCCTTGCAACTAGATACACAAAGACGTATAGCATGCATCTTACTCAGCCCAATCAAGCTCTGTACTTGTCTATCATTAGTAATATGCATAGGATGGGTATCCGGAGCCATGTTTGCTAACATTGAATCTGGCAATGCATAAGTGATAGACACGCTGTCCGTATTTCCATCCAGCATGTAATCATCTAGAGCCATAGCTACGAGTTCTCCATGTGTACAACCATCATTCTAGAAGAACAACCTCCCTCCTTTGCGATTATCCACCTCAAAATGCCACCCCTGAGCACTCATAACCCATTCTCCAAATACAACAGGCAACTGAGCCGCCATCTGCAAAAAAGGTAAACCACACAAGATAAACCGTGTTTTCCAAGTAACATATAGCAGACTTCTTTAGTCTGCTATAATCGGCTAAACGTCTAAACATTCAAGAAAATTCGTCACTTTCTAATTATAACACATATCAACGTGAAACTCACGTATATGGAACCAAGAAAGGCAGATCAACATGTCCAAACAATTTATTTATTTTAGCATATACCATTAATTCAAAAACGAATTTTTTGTTAAAATAATTAGGCAGACTTCAAGTGTTGTCTGCTGTGTTATTCTCCTTCGACAGACAGACTTCAGTGGCAGACTTCTTATGAAGTCTGCTAATATGTGCCAATTACCGTTCAAATCTACAAAAATTATAACTATTAATGTATAACACATAAGCATACAAAATTAATACAGGTAAAGGAAATATACCTTCTAAACAAGAATAAAAATTAAAAAAAAAATTTCATCACACAAAAGTTTTAAAAAAGTACTTTTTAAAAACGAAAAAAATGCAGACTTCCAGCAAAACTCCACCCGGTTGCTTTCACGAAGAAGTCTGCCAAAAAGGCAGGGTTACTTTTGCAATTGACCAAATGTTTGACTTTCGTAGTAGACTTCTATATAAAGTCTGCATAAGAAAAAGGTTATTTCTGCAATTGACCAAACGTTTGACTTTTACAGCAGACTTCTTTTGAAGTCTGCTGTAAGAGGCAAGAAGTCTTCTGTTAATGTGAAGTCGGCTGACGAAGTCTACACTACCAACGAAGTCTGCTGCAGGTTATTTCTGCAATTGACCAGTTTGACTTTCGTAGCAGACTTCTAAATTAAATTAATAGCAGACTTCTGCTATAAATTAAATTTGTAGTCTGCTATTTAGAAGTCTGCTATAAATTAAATTTGTAGCTGACTTCTTTAGAAGTCTGCTCGAACAGTCAAAGGTGGTCAACATCTTGGTCAAATGCAAAAATAACCTTTCAGGTCAAACTTATCCTTTTCAGATATCTCCACGAAGTCTGCAGAAAAGGTCAAAGTATAATATTTTCCGGTCAAATGCAAAACTATTCTCGCTTTTCGACAGCCTGAAATAGAAGTCTAAACGTTGTTTTTTTGTATTCAAATGAAAATTCGCAAACTTACAAAGAAGTCTACTTTCAAAAAAATACCAAAAGGTCAATTGCAAATCTAACCTTTTACGTTGACTAGCAGACTGTAAAAGAAGTCTACTTTCGCGAAACATAGCCCAATGTTAAAGAAAAGATTTAGATGTTTACCTCCTTCCAATTTGAACTCGATTAACTTTGACAGAAGTTCAGAATTTTTGAGATGCACGGAAAGGAAACCAGCCCAGAACTCGGTTATCCAAGAATCTCACAAAATATATGATTTGCGAATTCAAACATATCAATGTCGACTAAGAAAGAGATTTTTAGATGAAACCAGATAGAAATTTGAAGATAGAATGAAGTTTGAGCGGCCAAATAAGCATTTAGAGCTTCAAGTGCAGATGGACAAGCATTAAGAGCTTCCATTTTGGTTGGTAATGGTAGTTGGCGAAATTGAAGATGATGGCATTTTCGTGAATACTTAAAATAGCTTAGGATGGGTATATCTTTTTCGAATTACCTAAAAAATTCGATAATTATAAATATAATGGCATTTATGTTATTATATGTGGCTTTAGGGAGAAGGTGGGGAGAAATTGGCTAATATTGAAGAGGGAGAAAAAAGAGGTTAGATTTGCATTTGACTTCAATTTTGAGGTCATATGAGCTTTCTATATTTATAAAGTTTGTTTAAGTAATATCTTATAAGTAAAGGTTTATTTATGTAATATCTTATAAATAAATGTTTATTTATGTAAAATATTCTGTAATATCTTACAAATAAAGGTTCATTATGAAATGTCTACTCAAATACTCCCTCTGTTCAGAATTATTTGATGTTTTAGAAGGTTTTTTTTGTTCAGAATTATTTGATATTCTCACTTTTCAATGCAAAATTTAATGAATTTTTATAGTTTTTGATTTTTTATATTCTGCAGATAATCTTCTTATTGGCTGAATGATATTTAAATGAATTATAAATAATATTTTTAGTATAGGAAAAATAAAAATTAAATAAATCCTTAAACTGTGTGCAAAAACCTTAAACATCAAATAATTCTGAACAGAGGGAGTAATAATATAGAGATTCGTAAGCCTGCACCTCTTGCCAAGTCTTGGAAATCATACATTCCCGAATCTGAACCAGAATACGAATCATTAAATCGTTCCTCAGCAGACATAACTTCATTAAAATCACCCATAATTACTCACTTCAGCCTACGCAAAACAGGGGAATTCGAATGACTCCTCAAATCATCCCAGAGAATTTTCCTTTCATCTTAAAAATTAGATGCATAAACAAATGTCCACAATATCTCATCCTCATCATCCAGTAGCTTCACCAAGACTGTAATCAACTGAGAACTCTTGAATACCGGAGTTACTCTGATTGTATCTTTCCACACAACCAAATTATTCCTAAGCCGTGCTTTGGTGCTCCTCATAGTGATTCATAAATGACCAATCATGAAATACTGATGAAAGTATATCAACCGATTTTGTCTCCTTCACCCGAGTTTCCAACAATGCACCAAATTCAAATTTATTCTTCAAACACCAATCTCTAATCACACTATGCTTATTTACTTGGTTGAGCCCTCTGATATTCGAGAAGAAGCTCGTCATTTGCATTGATTACGGGGTTTACGACCTTTCTTTTTCCCAGATTTTTTTTGAGAAGAGTTCGGGGAAGAAGAAGTTATTGTCGCTGTTGGTTTCTTCACTGCAGTTTTACATGCTCGGGGCAGAACTTCACGAATTCCCATCCCCTGAGTGTGATCCACCACATCGTTTTTTTTGCTTTGTTCGGGAGATTCAACATCATCATTAATTTCCCCAGATTTGTTTTCGCCTGTCCTTGAGCTATCCGTGTCTTCCTCCTCTTCATCCAATAAAGATAAATATCAAGACGTTGTCACAATTTGAATATCCTCAGCAACTTTACTTTTTGAGCGTCCTGCCTTTGCTGGAGAGACACTCTGCCATTCTTTTGGATCAACTAGTGAATCCTCTCCAGTTTTAGAAACTGCAGGCATTTCTTTAGGACCATCCGAAGCTCCAACTTTAGGGGTTTCCCTTTGAAGGTGGTTAGCCTGCGGTGTAATACTCTTCCGTGATTCTGTGAACTTCGGAGAGGCAACCGTTTCAACTACCACTTTATCTGATTTAGTAAAAATCGGAGTCTGTGCAGTCTTTCGTGGTGGTTCATGTCACATAATTACTTTTGAGCCAGGCTCAGATAGGCATATCTTGTTGCTATGTCCCCATGTATTACACAATGTGCATCTAGGGGAAAGCCAAGGAAACTCAAAATTCACACACCCAGTCTTCCCATTCTTCAATTTAAAATTGAAAGATTCAGGAAGTTTCTTTGTCAAGTCAATTTTAATAAAACGTTTCGCCTCTTCGAAACTCTTTGTGCATAACATGTCCGGGTGGAGTTTTTTTGAAACTCCAATTGGACTTGTTAAATAACTCAGACCCATCCATGGATAGAGAGAACGAGGAACGTTTTTCAATGTTACCCACATTGGCACCACCTTTAACTCCGGCTGAGCTTCTTCTGCAACTGGACTCCATCGGGAAACAATCATTGCCACATTTTTATGTTCCACATTCCCTGTTCAGAACGCGAGCTCTGATACTTGCATCATTTATTCTGAACTTTACTGTTGTGTCATTAACGACAAACACTTCAATGTTCACTGATTTATTACCTAGCGTCCATATTTTGTTACCGATCATGTGTATGGAGCCAACATGTGGTGCCTTAGACATGAACTTACCAACTATACAATCCGTCCATAAAGGTGGATCGTCAAATACCATAACTAGAACTGAAATTGTTTCAATTCCATCAATAACCTCTACCTCCACATCAAACTTCTGCAAACCCGGCGAAGATTTAACAACAGAGGACCAAGATTTCCCTTTTTCAATCGCTATTTCCGGAGCCCTCAGATCATTTGAAGGATCTGATGATTTCTCCTCCTGAGGAGCCATATTCAGTGCATCTGTTCCCTCCAAACCAGGCGAACCCACCTTTGGAGAGCTTTCTTGTCCATCAGACGAAACAGACACTTTGTTTCCCGAACAACCTTCAACTTCGGACATCTCTGCAACTTGTGACGAGCTCATCGTCACCTCCACCACTTCTCCTTGACGGGAGAGACCTCCTGTCCCGGCGCCGTCTAGCTTTCCGGCCTTAGCGTGGCCAGAAAGTTGAAAACCCTAAGATCGCTCTCAGAATCGCCTCCTTTGCCTCCTTACTGACGTGTTCAAAAAAAAACTTTTGTAAGTCCAGGGTAACAAAATTGACTTTCAATTGGCAAATCCGATAATTGACAACAACAAACAAACAAACCATCGTCTAGCCAAGAGAACTAAACAACTGGAGATAGAAGTGCGAAGCCGACAGAGAAAGTAGCTATGTCGCACCCTCAACAAGTCCGATAACATGTACATCAGAGCATGCCACTTCACCAAAACCAAACCAATAGACCAGAATAGAAACTTCAAACCAGAGGAAGACCTGAAGCCTATTAACCTAATACCACATAAACCCTGCACCCGTTGAAACATACCTAGACCACAAAGAACAAGCACTCAAGAAATAAGCGACTAAAAGATATAGAGAAGCGATGAGAACTCCTGCCAACACCACAACGGATCAGTTCAAGCACATAAAACTTCCACAGCTGCAAACCACCACAGTCTGATGAAATCCGCTTGGTAAAAGCTTGAAATAACACTACCAAATGCCACTCATAAAGGACCCATCATACATTTGATAAAATCGGATCTAGAACGATGAGAAGCATCGATTCAAACAAAACTCCATGTGAAGGATAAACAGACAAAAGAAAAAGCTAATGTAACAAAACAAACAGCACAGCGCTGGAGACAAAGCTCCGGACGACGGCACGGGAGATGAAAGTGATTCCTCTCTCCTTTTCAAGCTCTCACACGAGGTCTTTTTTTTTTTTTTTTTTTTTTACAACCACACGAGGTCTTCTTCTTATTAATTGTCTCTCTCTCTTACTTGTGGGGCAAGAAATCTACTTTAAGTTTCTTTTCTTTTCTTTCTTGCACAAAACGAAGTAATTATGAGTGGGAATATAGATTACGACTGCGAAATAAATTATAGGTTTGGCAAATAGATTAGGAATAAACAACTTACACTAGGGTTGGCATAAGAGATATTGAGAATTTAATGTTAAGCTTAGATTAAGATTGGCAAATAAATTATACTAGGATCAAGTGTTTAGATTAAAGCAATTGTTTAGATTATAGCAAAGTTTGAGATTTAATATAATATAATTTCATATTAGGCAATCCTTTTAATTCATGCTTTTGATTTGAAATGTACATTGCGATTGGATAAAAATATTTTAAATTCGTGTAGTAATATATTGGTAAGCCATGCGACCTCAGCTGATTGACCACCTGACGCAGTTTTTCCGTGAGATCAATACCCAATTTCTTGAAGAACGTGGATCATTTTCTGACCGGAAAATGTGTTTAGTAGTTTCCGTTTATAAGATTAAAATTATTTTTTAATACAACTATTTACTAAATTACTTCAAAAACTTCTTCAAGGTAATTCAGTTTTACCACCCAATTAATCCCTAAAGTCAGTGTAACCGTCAAATAGTCTACTTTTTGAGTTGTCTAATAGGTCTAAAGCATGCAACTTTTCGAGTAGTCAATTAGAAGGAGTTAGATAACTCTACACTTAAGAGGAATCGATTTCAGGTTTAGGCTAACAGGTAACTCTTCCTCAACAAATAGAAACAATTCATAAATAATGTCATTCTAACATTTTGTTTTTGTTTCATAAATAGTGTTACTTGTGCTTTCAATGCAATTTTTGAGCTCTTATTCTTTATTATTCAATAATATTGATACACATCATGCATATGATGCTCTCTGTTGATAATATATATATACACGTCCTGTACGTATGCACGTGTTTTGTTGTATATAGTTAATCATTAGTAAGGCTTCTCGTTCACATAATTCCCAGGAGGATCATAGTTGCAAACAATGATGGTTCCACCATTGTTACACCTCGCCTTACCACATCCGAGTTTTACTGAGTTTCTCCAAACAACCTGAGTGTAGTGACCGCACTCTCCGTTGCACGTGTTCGATGGGTAGTCGTAGCTGGCCTTCTCATCAACCCACAGGTTCACAGCCCTGATGCCGGATAAGTCACCGCTACTCTTGGCTAAGTTCTCACCGTAAGGCCCACTGGAGTGTACGAGATTGCAATCGCCTCTTCGTTGGTCTGCGTAGCTCTGAGCAAAGGCTGAAACCCTTTCGTCCCACTGTACGGGGCCTAGGCCAACGGCTGCGCGTGCCTCGTTGTGCACCCTTACATAGTCTTGCTGGCTGTCTTGAGCCTTTGACGGAAGAACAAGAGCTCCTACAAGGGCTGCTAAGAGTATTAGAAATCGAAAATAGAGAATGAGTTTCATTCTTTCTTAGTTGGTAGCGGCTACTACCAAGCTTTGTTATGTTGTGATTTTGGGGTTCGAAAACATGGTTTATATAGAAATTTTGAAAACTATCTTGTTAGCAGAACTTAGAGATTAAGAAAATGTAGATCGATTTGAATATAATATATTTGGAGATCTTAGGTCTAATGTATAGGTTGGCAATTCACCTAAATATCATTAGGTCTAAAAACTAGAGAGTTGGACCGTACTTGACACAAAGAATTCTTCAAAACGATTTTATTATAATTTTTTAAGGTAATTTAGAGCATTTCCATCCATAAAAACTCCTAATAATATCTCAAACAAAAAACAAATTAATATTTTAATATAACTCAATTTTATAATTAAATTTTTTACTTAAAAAAAAGACATGAACCAAAGATGAAAGACAAATATATTATAGAGTTCTCAAAAATATTTCTAAATTTCTCTTTTTCATTCTCTCTCTTTATTTTTAATTATTTTTTTATTTCATTTTAATCATGAGATATTCTTATGAAAACTTCGGAAAAGTGGCTGATACGTGTCTCAACTGCACGTACTGGTACCATTTCATGCAAGTACTTTTGTGCTGTGTCTACACATACATGTATTCCATAAATTATATAAATTGATACTCGAATCATATTTTTTTGGCCAAAACCTATATTGACTTTTGATCCGTCAGTCAACCCCGTTTAATTGTTAACGGTCGCTGACTCTGCCACATTAGATTCTCCGTTGGAACGGGAACATTCGTATATAACGAAACGACGTCGTTTTGCAAAATACTGGAAAAAACAAATTTGTAGCCTCGGGGAGTCAAACCCAGCACCTCAATCATTTAACCAATAACAGAAACCATTAGACCAATTCGATTAACTGGTAATCTATTGAATTGTTATATTATATATATACAAACAAAAATCTTTTTATTAAAAAAGAATGAATACGACGTCGCTTAAGTTATAATGTGGCACAATGAGTCAGCGACAGTTAACAATTAAACGGGGTTGACTGACGGAACAAAAGTCAATGTAGGTTTTGGCCAAAAAAATACGGTTTGGGTATCAATTTACACAGTTTATGGAATACAGGTACGTGTGGGCACAACATAAAAGTACATGCATGAAATGGTACCAGTATGTGTGGTTGAGGTACGTATCAGTACGTATCAAGTATGCTTTTTGAATTGCAACCAAAATCAACTAATCTTTCACACATCTCCAAAATCAAGACGATCTCAAAATTTTCCTGTTCCTTTCTCATTTTGAATTCCACATTGATCTTTCATTCTCTGCCTTATTCTTTCGTCAATACGGCTCCAAACCTAATCAGAGATTTCATAAAGTATCATCTGATTAGAAGTGACTGTTGGAGGTGGACTGTGCACTCCTCTTTAAGCTTTTTCCAAATTGAGATCGGCCCATTCCATGGTAGATAAAACCCATTCCATGACCAATAAAGCCTATTTTACAGTTAAGCCTGTTAGGCGCGACCTATCCAATCTGGACATGCAACCTGTCCAATCTAAGCTTGCGAGCTGTCTAATATGGTCATGTGACATTTCCAATTGACTGTGCAACTTAAGATCAAAAATATCTTCATTCCAGAGTCTTAATTTTTCTTTAAATAGCGTAGACTCTCCATTATGAAGAGGATCAACGAATTGTTATAAGAGCTCTTAGACAGTAATCATAACTCAGAACCGATCTCTGATCTTCGACAACAGCTCATTTAGATACCAAACTCAAACATTTTTTCCAACTTCTTATCTGACCGACTTACTTCTTTCTTGTAAATATTGAGTTAAAATCTTTAAATAAACAAAAGTCTCTGAGACACTCTAATCTCACAAATTAAACCTAATTTGATTTACACTCATTAAATAGTTAATAAATATCTGATTTTTTTTAATTAAAAATCAAATCAAAACTTTTTAACAAGTTGAACAAAAGAAAAAAAAATCAAAATGCGCCCATGACTCCCGGACGCAACACCACAACAACCGCCACAAGTACTACTCTTCGGTCTCGCCTGAAAAAAAAACAATAGAGGAGTGACTATTTGAGAAAATACTCAGTGAGTGTGTGCTTTTGAAGCACACAAGATTCTTTGACATATTATTTGAATTAGCAGTATACTTAATATAGATATTAGACACACACACAACAACCAACGTAACTAACATTATTATATAATATATCTACGATCCTAATATTTATAAATAAGGACAATCATTCAAAACAATTAACCTTGCGAGTCTACTTCACATTCCCAAAGAACCTCCATCCAAGTTACTCATTCTCTGCCATCACCCATTCCGGGCTTGACAAGTTTCCGGTGCCACCACCCTCAGCAGGGTTTGACTATAACTCGTCAGTCATTTTTCGATCACTACAGCTTCACAATATTCAGTCTCTCACTGTATGTCATCAAACAATAAATCTAATCCCTATACAAGGTATACAAGTATTAATCCATCATAAAAACTTCATAAATAGATTACATGTCTTAATCATTACTCCTTATACATAGCAATCACTCATCAATCATTAATTGCCAGTCAGCATTTATCAATCATATCTAATCCCTATACCAAGCATACAAGTATTACTAATTCATCTAATATATCATAGGAATCCAAAACTAGTCCTCACCTTTGCCACTTGAGAAGGAATAGCGAACCCGATTTGCCTTTAGACAGATTTGACACACAACAGGAAAATCATCATAACATTCTGGTCACAGCTTGGAATAGATATCGGAAGATTGATCTGGAAAGCTGGATTGAAGACATTCACGCCGGTATGTAGATCGTCGTCTGAACCTCCCTGGATTGCTGGCAAAACGCATCACAAGTCGGCTGCTCGCGGATCGGATCTTTGTAAGTATGACTTGGGAAAACACTCATGCCTTTTATAAGACAGCTACAAATAATGATCCACTTGCAGCTATAGTTAGATATGAGAGTCTAGAATCACTTTACCAAGTTTCATGCCGATCTGATCTAATTTTACCAACTGATTATCTCTCACGCCAGAACACGTCGGATCAACCTTCTAGATTGCTGCAGTGGCTCCTCCTTCGAGCTGTTTTGATGGAGGCTGCTCAAGCGTGACTCTGGAATGGATTTCCGCTCTGATCTACATGTTTTTTCTCTGCCACGAGCTCACTCTATATATAGGGTAAGAGAGAAGGCTTCCTAGGTTTAGGATTTCCAAACAAATATCCTTTTTTGCCCTTAATGAAATTTTTGAGATGTCACAGTCTCAGAGCTTCTTCTCTAAGTTTAGCTATTTGTCCCCTTAGTGCTAAACCAATACAATAGTGATCAGATCACATCTTTAAAAATGTTATGAATATCTGAAATTGCTCATCGATACGTAGGTCTGCACATAGAGGTAGTCATCCCCAAAACGTTGGGAAATACAAGAAAAGACTTACAATCATTTATTCTCTTATAATACAAAATGTTCAACTTCATTTTTTTGTTTCGAATTGAATTTAAATTTAAAAAATATTTACAACTAGTGCGCCATGCTTTTATATGTGTTACAGCATTTAAAAAGAAATTAAGTTGTTCTTGTTGCAAACTAAAACATGAGGTCGCCTCATCTTTTGCATCTCCCGAGCATCGAATCGAAACAAGCATTTTTCTCATGCTCTTATCGATGAGTTTTATAAAAAATTTAGGTGTAGATGGATGATCTACATGCTTTCTTCTGTACTTTCTGTGACATCCCACTGATCAAAATTAGGGCTTATTTTTTTACATTAAACCCTAGAGTGTTAACCCTAACTTTTCGAAAAAGAAAATCTAAACTTAAAAGGGAAGCAATATGTTGGATTTGGAATTCTCGAGTGAAAATAAATTGGGACGAGGTTCACTTCATTTTAAGTTGGGCTATAGAAAAAATGTAACCTAATAATGAATGAAATGAAGTAGATGACAGAATAAATCATTAGGCGAGGAGTCAGACTTGTTGCGAGCCAATAAAAAACTATGAGTAGAAAGAAGTATTGAAGCCCATTTTAAAGAAGTTATTATCTCATTTTCGTGGCCCTGTAAGGAGAATGTGTCAAACCCAATGTGTGAAGCCCAGAGGAGTTATTAAGGGCAAAAGATGACATTTACTCAGAAACCCTAAACCTAGAAGTCTCTCTTCTCCACTCTATAAATAGAAGAATCACGACCTTGGAGATATCAGAGAGCTATCTTGTGGTGAAGCACCTTAAAGGAGAAGTCATTGTAGCCATTTAGGAGGCAGATCCGACCTGTTCTGATATAAGAGAGAAACATACAGGCAATCGAATTGGATCGGCCTGAAAATTGGTAAGAATATTCACGACTCTCAGATATAGCTATAGCCGCTAGCAGATCCGCATAGATAAGATTGACGAGAAGCCAATTTCAGAAGAGTTTTGCTGGTAATCCGGGAAGCTCCAGAAGGCGATCTACATACCGATATGAAGCTTTTGAATCCATATTTTCAGATCTACCTTCTGATTTCCTTTCCAAGGTAAAATCAGAGAGTTGTGTCTGTTTCTTTCTCGAGAAGTTTCTGTCCATTTCAAAACTCTAGTTCTATTTAAGGAAATTTTCCTTTTCCAATAATTTCCATTTATAGAAAGTCCATTTATGGAAATTCTATTTACGGAAACTTTTTTTTCCAATCGCAGACTTTGGACGCCTATTCCAACCAGTTCTTCTAACGCATCGTAACTTTAACCACAAGGCAAAGGTGAAGCAAGACTTGTGGATCTATAGGTTGTCTTAGACATAGTTATATATGTATACTGAACCTAGAATTAGAGATTGAATGGTAATTAAAACAAACCAGAATGATTGTTTGAGAATTGTTGTATATATTATTAATTGGTGTTAGTCTTGACGCGTTAGAGCGCATGATTGATCCCGGCGTATGGACGGATTGCTTGTTGGTCTTCACGAAGGACGTTTTGTAAAGTGAGACCATGGCTGGACCATACACAGAGGAAGTGTGGCCAGTACAGGGGCTGAAGAG